TAATTCTCTCAAGAAAAAAAATAAATAAATAATTCCATAAGAAATGTGAAGCCAACATGTGATGAGAAGTTAGTATTGTTATGTTTTTTAAGAGTCTTCAATTAAATTTCTTCTCAAAGGTATTAAGGAGGATTTCCCAATTTTCTGAGGAAAGAACCGCCCTCTCCACCTTTTGAACAAAACTCTATGGTCTGATTGGACGAGCACAAATCACCAGAATGATTGACAGTTGGTCAGTTAGTCTAGATGATGATCCACACAGAAGTAGAATATCTTCCTCTAACTTCAATATTTGGTCCAGTTTTGGTTCAGTCCACAGAAACTGACCAATCTAACTAATGTGAAGTCATTTATATAGAAATATATAAATAAATATATAATAAAAAAGTAAAATAAGTGATACCCACTTATTCTTTCGGCCCCTGACCGGCCCTTTCACTTTTTATTCGGCCCTCAACCAAAATGAGTTTGACACCCCTGGTGTAAAGCATCTTAAAAGAACTTCTCAGGTTCCAGATCAGCAAAAGTTTACATCTGGAAGCATCTGTACAGTGGTGGTCTCTTGTTATATCGCAGTTGAGTTTTTGCGGCCTCAGTGTTGCACTATTTTGAGTGCAGTGCTTCCAGTACTTTTTTCCAGCTACTTATCATGTGCTACGTAAATACTCCTACATCATACACGCTCCTATAACATGACAGTTATATTTATTTAAAGTCAGAAGAAAACATTACTGGCTTGTGTGCACCTTGGTCTCGCAGTCTTCCCATTCCTCAGTCCTGCTCCTGCTCCTCAGCGTGGTGTCCTCTGTAACTGTATTTTACAGTGTACGCACGGCTTTTTGACAGCTACAGTAAGAACTATAATCAACTTGTTTATATCTTTACGATCGCACTTTAACAGTTGTCTATTCAGGAAAGGTGCATAAAGTGTGAGTGGGGTTTTACAGCATTAAAATATACAGCTGCCATTTCAAGGATTTCACTTATGGTGCATTCAGACCGCAAACGCTAAAAACGCTGAAGCCCCGCTCACCAGACGCGCATTCTCTAGTTTTCAGACACAGAGGACTTCACACCAGAACGACCTGACGCGAGCCGGAAGTACTGGAAGTAGCCGGCCGGCTCTAATGCTAACAGAGTTATGCTAGCGGCTTCTTGTGTACAGATCTTCTCCAATATGCAGCTTTGCAGCACGTCTTTGAACAGAGACTTTCCACGGGCTTTATACAACAATAGTATGTGTTCACGGAGGTGCGCCATAAGTTTTTTTTGTATTATTAAACGGTATTTCCGCATCGGCGAACACACTCGAAGCAGTTGCATAAGGTCACAGGAGCATGACAACGCATATTTTCACAAGCACAGAGTCCTCCATTGTCAACCCTGGTTTTGTCCTTGGGTAGTCCTGGTATAGCTCCTGTTTTGGCTGTTTACAGTATGTTCAGTCTGCTCGCTCAGACCACCAATGTCCCCGTGACCACTTTGCGGCTCTCTGATTGGTCGCTGCACGAACGTCCCGAGGTCAAAGTTGAGCAAAGAGCATCTCCTGTGGGCGTCCATTTTCCGCTCCTGCTCCTCCTCTTTCACTTTCCCGCCAAGTCCGTGCGTCTCTACAGAGCGGTCGGTGCGTGTGTGCCGAGTGGTCGGTGCGTTTTGATGCTGCAACGCGCGTACCCATTGACTTTGCATTGAAAGCAGTCGCAACGCAGGATCCGGTCTGAACGCGGCATTATTGTGGGTTACTCTTAGAACACTTCACTCACTGCTGAAGTCTTGACAGTGTCACAGCCCTGGTATAGACTCATTTCTCACCTGATTTGGGGCCTGGTTTTGCTGGTGCATCTGGTGCTGCTGCAGCTGCTGGGCTCTGAGCTGCTGCTGCAAACACACACATACACACACAGTCAGGCTACAGTGACACATCTGCCACAGTCTATAGTGTGGGAGCATAAAAGAGCTCTGACCTGGAACTGCTGCTGCAGGCTGGGGTTCTGCTGGAACTGCTGGAACTGAGGCTGTTGCACCTGCATCTGCTGCACCATAGCGCCCCCCACTGGACACACACACACCAGGTCAGAGTCATTATGTGAAAGTCCAGTCCAGGTTCTCATGTTACACTCACTGTTGGGGGCATGTCCCTGTCCCATCTGCAAAGGGCCCATCCCAGCGGCCCCAGGCCCCCGAGGGCCCAGAGAGGTCCCAGCCAGAGTGTTCAGAGCATTCATGGGGTCTGCAATAAGAGAGACATGTGGAAATATGCAACAATGGAAACAGTTCAAGAGCACCCTAACAGAACTCACCTGGACCACCGCCCATGTTCTTCTTATCTGCGAATAAACAACAGGCTTAGAAGAGTGTTCATCAGAGCCAAAATGTCCTGTTCTAGAACATCAGAGTAAAAATGTCCTGTTCTAGAACATCAGAGTAAAAATGTCCTGTTCTAGAACATCAGAGTAAAAATGTCCTGTTCTAGAACATCAGAGTAAAAATGTCCTGTTCTAGAACATCAGAGCCAAAATGCCCTGTCCTCAGTTAGTGCTAAAGTTTGAAACTCACGGAAGTCTCTGAAGTGAATAATGAGCCGAGCCACGAGGGACAGGTACTCCTCCTGTGGAGAGAAGCAACGTGAGACACTTGCAAATGATGGTTCCTTTTGAGTCCAGTCCTCTGGTCCAGTCCTCTGGTCCAGTCCTCTGGTCCAGTCCTCTGGTCCAGTCCTCTGGTCCAGTCCTGACCCTGGACTTGGCCTTGATGTAGACGTGGTTCTCCATGTCTGTGCTGGATTTGGAGTGGGCGGTGCCGGCTTTTCTCATGGCATCTTCACTGGAACAGAGATATAGGCCCATAAGCAAGTGAAACATGAAAACAAACACGTGTGTAAAAATAAACACAAAACAACTTAAACATGTAGGGACAGAACCACTATTGCGTCTTCAGCTTTAAAATCTTGGATAGTCTTTAGGTTAAGTATAAACATATTGGACTCTAGCGTGTCTATATTTAACGTTATAACATCTGGGCCTCAGTGTCTGTGTCACACACCGTATGACTGGAAACAACAGCAGGATGTGACACAATCACAACAATAAAGTAAAATATTTACTTCTACCTTTGGGATAAAATGTATGTAAAACATTTGCCGTGACTGCACATATTCTGGAGTTGAACTCATCCAACGCTTTCATAAATTAAAAAACACATTTGCCCTGTTAGCTCCGTTAGCTTAGCCCAGAGCTAACACAAACACAGGAACATTTCTCACATTTGTGCCACGACTTTCTGCCTGAATTGTGGGCTTCTCCAGTCGCTTTCCGGCCCGGGGACCTCCATGAAGACACGGTACAGAGAAAGAACCGGGCAAAAGGAGAAAAGTAAAATATAAGCGATTCTTCAGCAGTTTACAATAGTATTCAACGCGCATGCGCAATGACGACCTAGTTCAGGGTGTCATTGCGCCAGCTCCTGGTTATGGAATGAACTGCTGCTCATGGAGCTATGGAGATCCAAAACTGTCAAAATTGTGGCCTGAATTGTGGTAGTTGTGTCTGGGACTGTGTATACTAGTTGGTGAAACTATGACGAATGTACTATTTTTGCTCAAATGAATGAATTTATCAATCCATGTTCTTCCCCATCCATTTCTGGGTCGGGGGGGGGGGGGGGGGGGGGGGGTGGCAGTCAGAGCTATACCCAGAACACAGAGCACCAGCCCCTCACTGATCCTCCTGCAGGTGGTGAGTCCACAGGAGCCTTGATTATTCAGCAGGGGCTTAAGCAGAGTGGGGTTAAGTGTCTTGCCCAAGGACACAACGACAGCAGTCATTGGTGGGAGTCATGAGGTAGGTCTTGTGTTGGGTTCGAACCCACCTTCAGGCTCTAAGGCCAATGCTCTACCAACTGAGCCACTGTCTGAATATGAACAAAGAAAATGAAATGAACTTAGAAGCACATCTAACCACTTCACACCTGTAATAACGAACTTAAAAACTCTGTAATTCTCTAGTTCCTGCCTCTAAAACCGTTTGTTTCCATACTTTGTGTATTTTTGGCCCCTGTCACATCTTTCGATCAGCTTTTACAGACAGAAAAGTGAAATCAGCTTTCACCCCAGAGTAAAATAGATACTTATACCCTGTAAAAAAGAAAAAGTTAGTTCAACTCAAAATTTCAAAGCAACCAACAGCGAAGGATTTTTGAGTTGAAGGCATTAACTTAATTCATCACGTTTTGAAGAACTACAATTATTAAGTTGTGTCAGCTAAGTTTTCCAAGTTCTGCCAACTAAGTTTTTAAATTCAAGTTACTGGAAATTTGAAGTCTGTATAAACTAACTTTTTTAAAGAGCGACTAAACACCAAATCAACTTTTTTCAACTCATAAACTGCATAAATATGTTTATTGTAGTGCTCTCTACATATCCTGGTCATTTTTTTGACATTTTAGTTCAAATTAGATAAAATATCACTTTTGAGCCAAAAAACGTCTGTGTGGCGCCCTCTCAACCTTTTTGGTGGTACTACATTTGAATTTGGTTCTGGCCTCTCCATTGACTCTCAAGTTCTCTATGACATCAGTTTTGTGTCAGTCTGTCTCTGCCAGTGATATAAACCCATTCAACTCTCACACACGCCCCAGCTGCAGTTTGGAGTATTCTGGCGCCATCTAGTGGATTAAAATTAAATGACATGAGTAATTCTGAGATTATTGAGTGTGATTAGGTTCAGGTGTGTAGCTTTACAATTATCTTAGTGTGTAAACAAGGGTGGAATGAGACTTTCTGGTCCGTAAACTATTGTTTTAAGCAGCAATGACAACTGTCTATTTTTTTTAGTGAGACAAGTGAGCTGTCAATCACAGCCCAGACTAGCCCAGCTCTAAGCCCCCCTTATTGTCTGGCTCACAACAGACAATTGCAGTTCCAACCGGCAATTTTATTGTCAGTGAATGCAAAAATGTTAGTAAGGTGAACAATTTTGAGTTGTATTTTTTACAGTGTAGGGCTCTTTCTGACACAAAAGATAACATTTTTATTATGAGAATAAAGGTACGTACCCCAGCTTTAAACATGTGTTATTGATGAGACTAAAGCTAAATGAACCTCAGCTTTAAACATGTGTTATTTATGAGACTAAAATTACGTGCCCCAGCTTTATGGAGTTTAGCTGTAATAGGTGCTTTATGCGACACAGACACGGATGAAAACATTAGATTTTATTCATGTTTCTTTGAAAACCCCAAACGAGATGATTGACGGCTGTGGGGGCGGGATCATTGGTTGGCTGTTGGCTGATGATTGGTCTGTTACTCATAGATGAAGGCCTGGCAGCAGGAAGTGTAGGTGACAAACTCCTCGGGTTTGAACCACAGTCCCACCTCCCGTTTGGCATTCTCCAGGGTGTCGCTGCCGTGGATGATGTTCCTGCACCCAAGGAAACACCATAAAGCGTTACTATGGCAACTGCAGCACGATTAACACCATTACTACGTGCCTGCTGTGAGTGACCAGGTCTAGAGTGTGTCCTCTGTTATGACCAGGTCTAAAGTGTGTACTCTGGTGTGACCAGGTCTAGAGTGTGTCCTCTGTTGTGTGTCTGTGTCACCTCTGCTCGGAGTGATCATGTGAGCGTTCTGTGAGAGGACAGATTCACCACAGAGCGTTTCCTGAGGGGGGTACGTACCTGCCAATGTTAATGCAGAAGTCGCCCCTGATGCTGCCGGGTTTGGATTCAGCAGGGTTGGTCTCGCCGAGCATCATCCTGGTAAGCTTCACAATGTTCTCCCCCTCCCACACCTGAGGAACCAGAGAAAAACTGTGTGAGTTGTGGCCCTGTAGGCTCCGCTCAGACTGCAGACTGTGCTTCAGTCTCTAGCTCTACAACGCCCCCTGTGGCTCATTACTCTATATTTAGAACATCTCATGTTCATCTAAATGTAGAAAAAGAGACAAGTCAACACTCTTCAATCAGACTTTTTTTTTCTTTGTGCAAAAATGACTGAGCATCGCTGCCGAATTATTCACGTATCACAGATTTAGAAATTAAAAGAAATATGTAGTTACCATGGCGAACACAGGTCCAGAGGACATGTATTTGCACAGTCCTCCGTAGAAGGGCATGTCCTTCAGGTCCAAGTAGTGGTTCTTCATGAAGTCCTCAGAGCCCTGTGGACAAGATCATTAGTACTATACTATTGTACTATTGTACTAGTACTGTAATTCTACGGTAGTATTACATTAGTAGTACTGCAGCACTATAGTACAAGTACTGTAGTACTGTTGTTGTAGTTCTGTAGTACTGTAATGCTACAACTGTAGCACTGTACAGCAGTACTACTGTAGTGCTACAGTACTAGTAGTACCAGTATTCACCTGCATGAATTTGGCGGCCACCAGCTTGAAGCCTCTCTGCTCGAAGCGGCGCATGATCTCTCCGCACAAACCTCTCTGAACGCCATCGGGCTTCACGGCAACAAGGGTACGCTCCATCCTGAGTCTGACCAATCAGAGAGGGGGGAGGGCCAATCAGAGAGGAATGGTTAAGGAGAGGAGAGGAGTTCTAATCAATTAAGGACTTCAATTGGACACAGATACAGTTCCTCTGTGTTAATTCACAAGTCCCACCATCAGCACCCCCTCTGGTCTGGGGTATATCTACAGAACATTATAAATATCATTCTGATCTAAAATGATGTAATAAAAGAGACGAGCCCCCTTTCTGACTTCAGTTATTCCGTATTGCTCTGAGCTCTGCCTGTTTACATGTCACTGTAATCGTGATCACATGAAAGGCCCTGCAGGCTCTGATCAGACCTCAGATCAAGTCAGTGATCAGTGAAAGTTTTAAGTAAGAACTGAGGGCGTGCAGTGATGGTCAGATAAGGGGAAAGGTGGACAGCAGTGTGGGTGAAGTGTGTTTCTGAAGACTACAAGGACAGTGGAAAATTCTCACTATTTTGAGTTCTAAACTGGAACATCTCGGCTTGTGTATGTGAAGCATGTGTTGGGGTATTTATAGTACAGGAGCCAATGGGAGGGCAGAAGGGAGGGGATCATGCCACTGGGGGGGCTGCAGCTGTCCCACACTCAGCACTAAATCACAACACCAAAAAGTTTCATTCATTCATACCTCCACACTGATTCTTTCCTCCAAATGTGTGACCTGAGAATGCTGTGCAATGTCCTTTTAGATACTACCACTAGTTCGGGTTTGAAGGTGTCCAAGCCTTTCAAACGTGTCCTGATGTTTCTGAAATACGTATGAGTGAGTGTGTGTGTGTGGGTGTGTGTGTTGGTGTGTGTGTGTCATACCTGGTGGTTGTGGTTGGGAGTAGAACTTAAGCAGCTGCAGTGATGATCACCGAGGTCGATCTCAGTGAGAGTGAAGTTTATATACTCCAGTGAAGGGGCATGGTTTGTGTGAGGGGGCGTGGTCAGTTTAATGGGTGTGGACTATGTGGGGGGGCTGTGTGAGGGGCTGTGTGAGGGGCGGGGCAGAGGGGCATACACTATAGATGGACACTCACATGTTTGGAAAGTCCTCCTTGACAGTCAAACATTTTTCTCATACACATTCAGTACAACTATGCATTTCTTGCACTAGAATATACTGTACAGTATTATATTCTTGCTTCTTTATTACGCTAAGTTTGAGATTTCATGTGATTTTAGTCTAGTTATTGTTCATTTATTCCATGTGCTCCTCATTCCTACTGTACTGTAACTGTTGATACAACACTGAAATTTCCCCATAGTGAGATGAAGAAAGGATCTCCGAATCTGCATATCTGTGAGCAGTGAATCCAACCAGAGACTGGAGACCAGAAAAAAATGTGAGACAAGGGAAAGACCAGAGAGAGACCAGAGCCCAGACAGAGACCAGAGAGAGACTAGAGACCAGTGAAAGACCAGAGAGAGATTAGAGACTAGATACAAGGTGTCCTGCGTCTCATCACTATGTGTGGAGTGAAGGGAAATTGTAGGTTCAACAAAAAGTACTTTGTGTGACCTTGGATTGTGAAATGCACTAAAATGCAGTGACCACAGGTTCAGATGGTGGTTTGCTCGTAAAAGATGGGTAAACAAAAACGCAGAAATTATCCAGAGCAACATTTGAAATACTAACCCCTTAGTAATTACCAGGTCTAGAGTCTGCTGTGACCAGGCCTAGAGCATATCATCTGCTGTGACCAGGTCTAGAGTGTCTCCTCTGTTATGGACCAGGTCTAGAGTGTCTCCTCTGTTATGGACCAGGTCTAGAGTGTCTCCTCTGTTATGGACCAGGTCTAGAGTGTCTCCTCTGTTATGGACCAGGTCTAGAGTGTGTCCTCTGTCGTGGACCAGGTCTGGAATGTGTTCTCTGTTGTGACCAGAGTTGATCCGCCCACATCTAATGTTCTGTCTTCTCTCTGATCAGTTAGAGCAGGATGTTCAGCCTACTGACCCACTTTGGATCTGGTTTGGGTCAGGCTCTGGCCTGTATGTCTGTCTGTACGACCTGACTGTGTGTGTGTGTGTGTGTGTGTGTGTGTGTGTGTGTGTGTGTGTGTGTATTCAGATGCTGTACATAATTTGAATTGTGCTACGCGTCAAATTTTCCTCCTCCTGCAGCAGCTGCTCAGACCTTCTGCTCCTCACATTAGACCTAAGAGCCACACACACACACACAGACACACACACATATATATATGCGCAAGCACACAGACACACACACACACATACACACACACAGAATGTAACTGGTGGCAGTAACTGGAGTGAGGGTTCCTTCTTTGATCCTAATGAGCAGATACCTAAAGATATTATTTTACGTTTTATTTTTGTAATGAGTCTCTTACTGCTGCACACACAGTTTTGTTAACCTCCACCTCAGAGACAAGAGTAAAGATAGACCAGACCAGGTTCAGACCGGGTTCAGATCGAGTTCATACCAGGTTCAGACCAGAAGCAGACCAGGACCAGACCAGGTTTGTCTCTACGAGTGCTTTTTCAGTTCCAACAGTTCTCTGACATGAAACAAGTGCTGTCTTGGGTTGGGGTTTGATCAGTCTACAAGCATAGACTGGACTGAGTGTAACATCACCATAGTGTGACATACTTTATTGATCCCCTGTAGGAAAAATTCAGGTGTCCAGTTGCAGCAATAACAGATCCATCTATATAAACAAAACATATAATTCTAAAAGTAGCTAGCAATAGAAATGCAGCAGCACTTTAGGTCACAGCAGCAGAAGTGGAGTAGCCGCTTGGTTCGGACCATTTTCTCTGCTCTTGTCCAGAGTGAAATGCTAAATGCTGAATAAGCATTTTTCAATAAAAACAAACCAAATGCATTCCTCCAATATATAAGAACTTTTAAAAGCATGTGACCTAAGATGTAAATGTTCATAATTACTGAAGAAAATGGTAAAGAAAAGGTACTGTGTAAGAGGGGTGTCACTGAATCAGAGCGTAGAGGCATTGCTTGTTGAGTTCCACAAGGATCTATATTTGGGGCCAAGACTATTTTTTCGGAATATTAATGATATGTTTGAAGTATCCAATATACTGAAAATTATATTATTTCCAGATGATGAAAATATATTTTATTGTAATGTATACCTATACTTTCACATGGTTTGAGTGTTGTATAGAGTATCACCCACATTGCAAAAAGTGATGGAAAAAGTAGAAAAAAATGGCTAAATATATCTTAATTTGATCTTGTTCAGAAAATATAAACTAAATGTCTCCCTTGGAATGAGAAAATAAAGCAATAAAATGGCTTTGTCCCATTGGAAAATCCTCTTTTAACACAGTCAGAATGTACTCAAATCAAGATTAAAAAAAAACAATTTATTCAAGCATTTTATCATTTTACTTTTGTTTGCTCAATATGATGGGAATGTGTCATGTTTTTGTCTGGGGCTGTCAGGGTTGATGCCAAATAGTACTTTATACCACCCATAATCAACAAGGACTACCTCCTACTTGAGATATGGAGTTATTTATGTATGTGGGGCTTGGGGTAACTTGGGCCTGGATTTAGACTTAGATAATCAGTTCTTGTCTGGGGCTGTTGGGGTTAATGCATCAACAGAGACTACCTCCAACTGGAGATTAGGAGTTACTTATGCATTTTTGGTGTAGTAAAGTAAAGTAGAAAAGACCAAATCTTTACTACTGGGGGATTGCTTTATATTTTAGGTTTAGGGGGTTCTTGGTTCTATGTTTGGAGGAGGGGGGAGGGGATTGGGAGGGTGAGGGTTGGCATTACTGCGTTTACGTCAGCTGCCACATGTAAATCTCATCGTCGTCCTCTTCATCCGGCATGCCAAACCACAGTTTATCTCCAGACTTGGTTAAATTACCGGTCTTTCTGAATAACACGATTCCAGGCGGCTGAGGTTTTTGAATACTCTCTTCTGCTTCAGTGTTTTCTGTTTGGACTTGAACCTTCAGAGACTCTTCCTTCTCTTCTTCTGATCTCCAGCTTGTTCCAAATTCCAAAGGGCCATCATAGGACTCCTCAGACAATAATATTGGAAGAGAAGATCACTGGTTCTCGGCTTGCACCTTCTTTTCTACAGCTGGAGCCTGAATTTCTGCCTCAACATTTAAGGTTTCTTGAGTATCATCCGAATTCTGGCTCTTTTCCTGCGCTTCCATCTTGGCCTTACGAGGTTCAACCACACACTTTGGAAGGCGCCTTGGTTTCCTCTGCTCTTTTGGAGGCTTCAAAGGATTAACCATTATCTCTGACTTTGGATCGTACCATTTCACTTCCGCAGCTTGTTTCTGCCGTTCCTCAAGAGCTGAAACAGGTTTGGAATCAGTTTGAGCCTGATTTGCTTGTTCAGACCTTTTTACCTGCTCAACACGAGGTTCTATCTAGCTGTTTTCTGATTGTAGCATAGTGTCCTTGGGCTTGATGGGACCTGCTTTGATCAGCAGATCTCTCCACTTTAGGTCCACTTGTCTTAAATGTCTCTGAGTTTTTCTTTGGGATCTCTTTTGAGTAAGTTCCACATTCTCAGTAGTGCAACGAGGCCTAGTCTGTGTTTTGGGGGGTCTTGCGTTCTTGGGCTTTGAGTTGGAAGAGCGTCCCTGATGAGGTATCGGGGCTTGTTCCACTTTTTCCTGCTTTCGTTTCACAACTTCCCATCCCTCATTTTTGAACGCTTCGGGAGCGAACGACTCCACACACGGCACACACGCTTTAAAAACTCTTGCACACGCTTCGGAGCTTCCTCCCGTTTCGCACAAACTTGCGCTCGGGTGTTTCGTGTTGTTTGCCCGACAGCTAATTTACCAACAGCTATCGTAATGCATCATGGGATCACCCTCGCTCGCAAGTGAGCTCCGGACCACACTTGCGCTCAAGGGTGGTTTTTAGGAGTGTGAAGGCCCTCGCCTCTTCTCCCTAAATATTGGGACACCATTCCACTCCCGCGGGCATGCGCAAAATCTAGGGCAAGTGTGCTTTTTAAGGGCAAGGGTCAGAATTGAGACGGGGCCTAACAATCTCCTTGGTCCTACTGGTGTTCAAGCACAAGTGGTTGCACTCACACCAGTCAACAAAGTCCATGATAACCGACCAGTATTCCAGTTCGTTCCCCTCAGACAAACAGCCCACGATGGCGGAGTCGTCGGAGAACTTCTGCAGGTGGCAGCTGTGTGTCTCATATGTAAAGTCCGAAGTGAAGATGGTAAAAAGAAACGGTGAGAGAACGGTGCCCTGAGGGGTCCCAGTGCTGCAGACTACCACCTCTGACTCACAGAAGCACTATGCACATACTGTGGTCGGTACAATAAGGTAGTCGATGGTCCATGCAGTAAGGTGACTGTCCACTCCAGCGTTCTCCATCTTTCGCCGCAGCAGTGCCGGTCTGATGGTGTTGAAAGCAGTCAACACCATCAAGTCAAAAAGTCAAAAAAATGACCCTCACAGCGCTCCCTGCTTGGTTTTATATATATACATATATACTGTATATTAGAGCCCTGCAGTTGAGCCCTTGGCCCGAGGGCCCCGACAGCCCGAGAGCCGGGCTTCGGGCCGATGACCGTATAATGACCTCGGACACGGGCCGGGCTCGGGCTCGAGCACTTTCAGAGCGGCAGATTACATTTACGAACGCACCCACTGAATATAGCGTTCTATCACGCTGTAGTGTTTGTTGTTCTGTGTAGACACATTACTTACAAGTGTGTTGCGGCATCTGGGCATCATACAGCTGCGGCCGCTCACTCCGCACACACAGAACTCATTGTAACACATCACTACCATGTATAACTCCGCCCTCTAGCCAAGCATGTGTTCATATCAGGGCGCGGCACTATATACTACGCTAAAACATTGTTATGGGAGGTAAAAAAAAACAGAAGAAAAGTCGGGCTTGATGCGGCTTTCGGGCCTGAAAATTCAGAAACCATATCGGGTTAATATGTAATATGTTTAATAATATGTTTCCCCCCGTCGAAACATATTATCTAGTGCATCTGCGCATGCGTCGAAGTAGGTTTACCG